AAAAAATATAGTAAATAATATCATTATAAATAAACCAAATTATTGAGCTACAAACTATAATTGGCTACCTTTGTCGCTTCCATTCGATGAACTAGAACATAGTCGGGAACTAAGCAGTGTGTATAATGCATGAGACAAATGAGAGTAAGAATACAGATGATGTTATGTTTAGTGCATTTCTGCAACTCTAACCATGCCTTATTTAGAGGACTTTTAACTCTGGTATGGAGGACCAGCTGTCACTAAAAGCAGGTAACAACCCAATCAGGGCTGTTGTAATTGTATAAAATGACTTATGAGATGTAATCGTTATATCTTTGAATAACAAAACGACTGAACCCTTCATCACGTTAAGAGGCATATTCGTTTGTGGAAGTGCATCTCTCGCCTCAACTTATTGTCCTTCCGCTCTCAATTTTATCTTGTAAATATAAATTTTTAGTTCATATTATAAGAATTGATGGAAATATTATTTTCCATTTAGTGAAGTTTTATGCGACACATTGTTTGTAGCAATGGATTTACATATGTGACAATTGGCAAATGGTAATGATATCCACGTCTACCATGATATCATCTTCATGTATTTTACATGTGGTGTTAGTTATATATTAGTTATATTATGTATTGTAGGGTCAGATTAGATTAAGGCTCAACATAAGAGAAGTCTAATTTTTTGTCTTTATCTACATGTACATACCTTTGTGATTAATACAACAGATATTTTTTCTACATTCTCACACGACATCAGATTAGATTTAGCGTCTAATATAGGCTTGGTATTCTGTCGCTCGCCTATGGCATTCGTTGACTCTCACCTCCCGTACCATCTTCTCCAGCATCCTCCGGCGACCGTTCGCCGAGAATTTCAGGCCGTAAGTTAGCGCGTGGTGCCCACACGCGCCAGAACATTGAGACAGCGCCGGCAGATTTAGCCGGCGCGTGAGCGTCACTTTCTTCTCTGATCGCCGCCGTCTTTTTGTTTTCGACTCCTCTCATCGTTGGCTACGTCCTGGTGTGGTCGGTTTTAGTTTTTGTGACGTTTTTAATTTATGCCCATATTGATATTTTGACGGTTTCGTGATCCGATTCGTGCCTCTATTTTCATCTGTTTCGTGATATTGTGTTGATCTAATTTTTGGATATGGATCGTACGGATGTGCATTTTCCTATCAGTATTGTCTTATCCGGGGATAATTATAGTATTTAGGCACATTCTATGAAGAGTTTTTTAATTGAGAGAAAATTGTGGCAGATTGTGAATAGTGATGTGTTGTCACCTCTGCATCCGTGTCTTTCAGGGGATCCCAATCCCACACCATAGACTATTACAACTTACGGCGATAAGTTGGAGGTTTGGGATAGTAAGAACCATTTGATTCTTACTTTGTTACGTAATACTTCAGTCTTTGTTATTCAAGTGCAACTTGCCTTGTTTGACATTGCAAATGAGGCTTGAGATTTTTTGGCTGCTCGATTTCAGACTACGGTCTTGGCTCATTATTATCAGTTTTGGAGCACCTTGCATTCCACCAAGCAGCAATCGGGTCAATCAGTTAATGGGTTGCCCAAGTTCAATCTATCGGGTATCGTCCGACAGGCTGAGATTAGTCCGGATCACCTTGATCTTATTCAGATTTTGATGGCTCTTCGTCTAGAGTATGAGGTTGTTTGTGCTTCTCTCTTACGTCGTCATCCATTGCCTACTCTGGATGTTGCTATTTAAGAGATCAATTTTGAGAAGACTCATCTTTAGTTGGCCAGGACACCACAACTTGAGTCTGCATTAGTTGTGCCTGTTTCTGCTTCTGCTTCGTCACATCAGCCTCAACCACCAATATATGTTTATTGTCAGCCTTGCAGGACCTCTAGTCACACTTTTGCCACTTGTCCTAAAGTGGAGTGCCACATATGCCATGCTCGGGGTCATATTGCTCTGAATTGTCCAGACAAGTCACAACGTTCGGGAGGTTCATCTTCTCGATATCGAAGGTCTCATGGGTCTTCTTCATCGACCCTTTCTTCTGTTACAGTGGTTGTCACTAATGAGCCCCCACACTCATCTTACACTCTTCATGATATAGAAGTTGTTCGCAAACATGTTATCCATTCCAATTCTGCTATGTCTGCTATAACAAGTAACCCTCATTGGTAAATTCTGGCTGTTGCAATCACATGACCTCTAGTCCACAGTTTTGTCTTCCTCGTCTTCCGTAACTTCTTTACCTCTTATATATACTGCCAATGGTACACATATGAATATTACACACACTGGTCTGGTTTCTTCGTCCTATTTACACCTTCCAGACACATATTGCATTCCTGACTTGACTTGAATCTTATTTCTGTTGGTCAACTAGTTGAACAAGACCTTAATGTTATATTTTCATATTCTCGGGACATGTCGCAAGATGGGCTGGTTATTTGAGTTTGAGTCTATCCACATCCCTTGTTCTTCCTCATTTATGCTCTTGTCACCGATAATAAGTCCAGCTTTCAGTGGCATCTTCGTCTTGGACATGCGTCTTCAAATAAAGTTCGTTCTTTATATAATAAAAGTCTTTTAGGTCCAGATCATTTATAAAATTTGAGATGATTGACGTTGTATTTTTAGAGACAAGACATATAGAACTGTCAGCATTATACAAAAAGGCCTCATTTACTTTGAGGGATGGGATATACCAAAATAATCCTGCAACTTTACAGCTCAGCAGTGAGATAGAATTTTGATATAAGAATCCCTCATTTACTTTACATGATTAATTGACATGGTCCAAAATTAAAATACTACTCTACCCCTCCTTTCACCCTTTACATGTGTAGTTCCTCTTTCTTGCCCTAATTCATCGGGGAACAATATCGTGCCCGTCGAAGCCAGGTCTGGACGAAAACCCTAATTTCGAGGACAGCAAGGGCACCGACGAGTCGTGTTAGGACATCGACTACGTGATTCGGAGGACGACGAGTTGTTAGCCCAAAAATCAGTTACGCGTGCGGGATACCAGCGATGCTCGAATCCTAATCCGACGAGCACGAGTGAAATGAGATCCGATTCCATTCCTTCTCTTTCTGTGGCATTTTTCCTTTCAGACTTGGAAGAAAAGAAAACCCAAGTTTATGATGCCTCACATGATTGGATTTCTGGCTTCTATTAGGTATTATAATTATGTTGATATTATTCAAATAAGTATGAGATGGAGAAGACGAAAAATTCAGATTTCGGAAACAAAAAATGAAAGGGAAATTCGAGATTACCTGGAAATAGGGTTGAGACGGAGGACAATGTGGGAGTGCTCCTCTGTAAAATTCTGATGCAAAAATGGAGAGATGGACAATGTAAATAGCTGGAGATTAAGGGGTATTGTTGTCCTTTCACATTCAAAAGTGAGGGCAAAATCGTCCACTAGCGTTCGGGATTAAAAAATCCCGTGGGGGAGGCGGGACAAATATAATCGGCGAAAAATGGATTAGCATGTGGGACCCGCAGCCACATGGATGACACATCACTACAATCCTGTCCTAATCCAATTATGTAAACATGAGATATTAGAGGAATCTTTTCCTGTTCTTCAAAGTAAACGCGCCCAAAGTATATGTCTTGCGAAAAGAAATCTTCTAAATCTTGACTTTAATCTTTTCGTTTAAAATTGTAGTAATTTGTTTTTTTTATTTTTAGGTATTCTGTAATTTCCCGTGGTTTCCGTGATAACTCGACGCTCATTCTTTTTTTTTTTTTTAGAAGACACTCACTTTATAACATTCAATTCTGAACACTTTTTTGAATCCCGATAAAAGAGAGTTCAATACCAAAAAAAATAAATAAATAAAATGATACAACTTTGGAGACGAATCCAAAAGTATTTTGTGGTGGTGGGTTTTTCATTTATTTATTTAATTTTTTTTCTTACCCATTTTCTCTAAGATTTGTGATCAAATTATTGGCCGTCGGATTTGTTTCATTCTATGAGGCGGGTCAGATTGATCATAGGCCGTATAAAAAGTCCCATATGAACGTACGGGAGCTCCTGAAAGCATCGGCGGCTGCGAAGAACCTGAGGCTCGGCAAAACCATCCACGCTCACCTCATCGTCTCCAACCAAATCTCTCAAAACCGCGTCATCGAGAAAAACTGTCTCTTAAATCTCTACTCAAAATGCGGCGATATCTCCAGCGCCCGCAACTTGTTCGACAGAATGCGCAAGAAGAACGTCGTCTCGTGGTGCGCTGTAATGTCCGGCTATTTGCACCTTGGCTGCACTTTACAGGTCATACAAATGTGTAGAGACATGCTTACAGTGGATAAATTGCGCCCAAACGAGTACACCCTGTCGATGGTCCTCTCCTCGTGTTCCAACTGCGGGCTTCTGGAAGAGGGCCTGCAGTGCCACGGGTTCGGGCTGAAATCCGCATTGATTTACTATCCACACGTGAAGAACGCGCTCGTGTACATGTACTCGATGAGTGGAGATGTGGAAGGGGCTATGCGGGCTCTGGATAATGACCCAGCATCCGATATCTGCACGTACAACTCGGTATTAAGTGGGATTTTAGTCCAAACGGATTTAACACTAGCTTGGTGCGTTTTGCAAAGGATGGCGTCTGAGTGTAAGTATGACAAGTGGGACGCCGTCACATGCATGAACACCTTGGCAGTCTGTAGCCGCGTTAAAGATCAGATTTTGGGAAGGCAGGTTCACGGCAGAGTAGTGAAAACGGGCTTGGATCGTGATTTGTTTGTGGGTAGTGCTACGGTAGACATGTACGGGAAATGTGGCGAAATTCCCTCCATGAGAGATGCTTTTGATGGGCTGAGAACGAAAAACGAGGTCACGTGGACTGCAGTTCTGACCGCCTACTCTCAAAATGAATTTTACGAAGATGCCCTCAGATTATTTCTGGAAATGGACGTCGCCTGCAGTGTTGTCCCAAATGAGTGCACGTACTCTGTGGTTCTCAACTCATGTGCTGGGATATCGGCTATCGGGTTTGGCAACTCGCTGCATGCGCGTGTCGTGAAAATCGGGATGAAAAACCACGTTGTTGTTGGTAATGCTTTGATCCACATGTGCTCCAGGTGCGGCCTTATTGAGGATGCACGGGACGTATTTACAGAAATGCCCGACAAAGACGTTGTGTCATGGAATTTAATGATAAGCGGCTTCTCGTACCACGGGCTTGGTGGGGCCGCCCTGGACACATTCGCAAACATGTTGGTGGCAAAGCAGCAGCCAAGCTACGTGACCTTTGTCGGAGTTTTGTCCGCGTGCGCCTTCTTGGGCCGCGTTGACGAGGGTTTTCACTATTTGAATAGCATGATGGCCCGATTTGGAGTTGAACCTGGATTAGAGCACTACACGTGCATGGTCGGGCTTCTGGGTCGGGCTGGGAGGCTGGATGACGCTGAGGGCTTCATGCGGTCAAGCCCGGTCAAGTGGGACGTGGTAGCCTGGCGGACCCTTCTGAACGCGTGCCACATCCACAAAAATTACGCGCTCGGCAAACGGGTCGCGAGAATCGTGCTCGGCATGAACCCTAACGACGTGGGTACTTGCATACTTATGTCCAACATGCACGCGCGGGCTAGAAGATGGGATGAAGCCGCGCGCGTGCGGAAATTAATGAAAGAGGGCAGTTTGAAGAAGGAGCCTGGGCTGAGCTGGACGGAAATAAAGGATGAGACGCACGTTTTCGTCTCGGACGATAACGAGCACACAGAGTCAGCCCAAATTCGCGAAAAGGTGAGGGAATTAATGTCAGGAATTAGAGAAATGGGATACATTCCGGATGTTTCTTTTTCGGAACTTCATGACGTTGAGGAGGAGCAGAAGGAAGATCAGCTTAGCTACCACAGTGAGAAGCTGGCCATAGCATATGCCTTCATAAGGACGCCTCAGGGGGCGACCATTCGGGTCACCAAGAATCTGAGGATGTGTGAGGATTGTCACTCAGCAGCTAAGTTCATTTCGAAGCTAGTGAGTCGACGGATTGTTGTGAGGGATGTTAACCGGTTTCATAGTTTTAGCAACGGGCGTTGCTCGTGTGACGATTATTGGTGAAATTAATAGTGTGTGTAAATGGCCATACACTCATACTGAAGTTGGTGACTGATTTATCTTGGAACAACAAAATTACTTAAGAAATTATATGTTTACAAATAATATAAATAGAACTCAGCTCCAAGTTTCTCTAGCAATAAAAGAGTTTTTTTTTTTTTTTTTTTCAACATAAATTCATGATTTTTACAAATTCATCAAAATCTATCTTCCCATCACCATTTTGGTCAAATACCCCAATCATCCTACTGCAGCTCTCCATCTCTAATCCTTCATCTAATCCCAGAGCACACAGAACCTTTTGCAACTCAGTTGCATTAATAAAACCATCTTTATTACTATCAAACACATCAAAAGCTTGCTTAACCTCATCCATGTTGGGATCTTTTTCTTCGAAAAGGGTAGAAAGGTCATTTGCACCCAAGACTGCTGGAAATCTTCCTTCATCAGAATCGAACGACAATTCCAAGCTGCTTAAAACGACATCGATATCTCCTCTGCTCAAAATTTTGTCAGCTCCATTTTCCTCCCCGGTGGATGGCGTGAAATCCGTGCTGTTGATCTTAGAATCATCAGCTGTCATCAGTTGAGATCGGGCGGAGGACTGAAATCCTAGGAAGCTGTATATTTTTTTCGTGTCGATTACCAAGTTCAGCAAGATGAACTCCACTAGTCCTAATATCAGAATTGCTAGCTGAATGTTGTTCAGAGAGAAGTTTTCGATTGGAAATTGGTAAGCGTAGTTGGGCGCCATGGTCGCTTACGACGAGAAAAGTTGGGAAAAATAAGGGGAGAAAAATGAGAAGGAAGTTGTTGCTTGCATGCAAAGGAAAGGTGAGTAGGGGACTTTTTTTGTAGATGTTTTTCCTCAAGCAACTTGTTGGTGATAAATGTGGATATTTATAGGTTACAAAATTTGTTTGGCCTTTCAGATGAGAGGAAATTTCCTGGGTGGTGCAAATAGAGTCATTCAGAGACGTTGGAAAAAAAAAAAACATGAGAAAAAAATTGCCAGATAAGGGACAATTTCTGCCTTTGTTTCCCCTTTGTTTCAGGAGTTAAGGAAATTTCCTGTATTGTGGAGAAGGCTGGATCTGATTCCCTCTTTTTTCACGTGAGTATAAAATACGAAGGTCATATTTGTTTATTTATTACAATACAAGTGTTAATCTCTGTTGACTAATTATAGTTGAATCATATAATCAAATGGCCCAACTCTTCTCGTGATCAGTAAGCATTATGTCACGAAAACAATATATTGATATCCTATCCTATCGACCTAATGAATGAGCCCTTGCCATCAATTTTATTTTTTTTTTTTAATTTTTTTTTTTCTTTTAACGAAAGCTTGAGAAATAGCATAGAAACCAAGTTGAAGTACAACCAAGCAATCAAATGATCACCGTTAAGAAGAAATCCCACAAACAACCGCAAGGATTTCTCCAACTGGGGGATCTAACAACTAGTCCCCCTCCACAGACACATTGGCTACACACACACCTACAAGAAGAACAAGCTACCACATCAAAAACAAAAACACAAACTGAGAAGGACTTGAGTGAAAGAATAATATGCTCAACTCAATTTAGCTAAGCAGAGCCGGTCCTGAAAAAATAGAGGCCCTAGGCTAAATGATAAATAGTGCCTATATTATTTTGTAATTCATAAATAATTTATCGTATTATAAAAAATACTGAAGAATGAAGATTATATATAAAATTTTATTAAAAAAAGTTGACAAGCGCTAGCGCCTTCATATCTTTTTTTTTTTTTTTTTT